GGCCGCGCAGCCCGGGCCTGCGGCGCCCTCTGCCGGAGCGCCGCCGTCTGCGTCCCGCCGGGCCCCGGCCCCGGCGGCTCGGTGCAGCCCTCAGCGGCCTCCAGCACCAGAGGTTAAATGTTAACGTCGCCTAGGAGAGCGTCAAATCGCCAGTCTTTTAACATATTTAGTAAGGCACTAAATGAAGATCAACGTTTCTGCCACCTATTCTGTACTTGATACAGCATGCCTTCTCTACAAATAATATTCCATTTCCTACAGTAAAAAGAACCCCAAAACCTATGAAATCTTGGGGTGATTCAATATTGACTGCTGCCCCTTTCCTGAGCTCTTGAATCCTCATCACTTCTCAGTGACACAGGGAGCCCTGTAATTACTCCTTTATCTCATCACCGTTCTCAGAACACGCTCAAGTCACGAAACCTATATTTGATATAGTGAAGGTCTCAAAGTACTAAAACCAAATAGGATTACTGTCTCACCCATCACTTTACAGAAAACTTGGACATCAACTTGCACCAGGCAGCTAAAGGCTGTAGAGAATTCAGATCATCACATCTCTGGTGAGAAACTTATGCACTTGATTACCTTTTTGCACACAAGTTGGAATACAAGAAGTTCCATTTAAATGTAAGAACAAACTTCTGTACTATGCGGGTGACCAAGCACTGGCACAGGATGCCCAGAGAGGTTGTGGAGTCTCCATCCTTGGAGACACTCAAAACCCAAACAGACATCCCTGAGCAGCCAGCTCCAGCTGACCCCTCTGAGCAGAGGGGTTCAACCAGATGACCTCCAGAGGTTCCTTCCTGCCTCAGTCATCCCGTGATTCAGTGACCACACTACCAGGCTCTACGTGTGGGGCACTTCTTCATTTTGAGGTTTGGCAGTCAGAGAAAATGCCTTCAAATTCTTGTGTACAGAATGCCTTCCGGAGAGATGAGGCAAGCAAAAACCTACCTCACATTCCTCCAAATTAAAGGCAATCAAATATGAATACACCCCATAATTATAGTAGAAGCTTTTTTTTTTTTTAATCTGAAACAGTTTCTTACCTTACAAAGCTCATCATTCTCCTCTTTGACAGGCAGAGAAGTAATATTTGTGCAGGAGTCCGAGTCTGATATCTCCAGTGAACTGTCATTTGTTCCATCACACCTATCAGTAGAATCACTATCCTTCTCCCAATCAATGAACTCTGATTCATCTGAAATAAAAATATTTGTAAAAAGAATTTTTCTTACTCACCATGTATTTATTCATAAGCATGAAGTCAAACAGAGTAATACTATAATTATCCCTCACTTGGGAAAAAGTGCAAAGTTATTTTTTATATATGCTCAACCGATCTTTAACTATTTTGTGATCCTCTCATAAAAGCTAAATCATACTAGCAGACAATAAAAGCTTCTGTGAAAAGATAAAAATTACATTAAAAAATATTTCAAAGTACTGCCCATAGGAGGCAGTATATTTAACTGCTTAGATAGGTAGGAGTTTTTTAGTTATTATTAGTTTGCCTATGTTTTAGTTGGTGGTGGGGGCTGCCCAGTTGCATTGGATTTTCCAGGTGTGCTTGTTCAGAATTAACTGTTCTAAGCAAATACCCAGAACAGCTGAAAAATTGGTGTAAGTTAACATCTGCTATATGTGGTAACCCCCCCAGAGAATGAAAAAGCTAGTTGAAATGGTTATCTCCTAAAGCACTATGGCTAAATACACAGGGCTGCAAATCAAACTTCTAAGCAAATCAGAGGATTATTTAGAATAAATTAATAGAAACAGGCACATGAAAAGATTTTTTTTTCAAGAAAATCTACAGCAAAATGGCAATAAAGAGATGCAGAACTGTTCTTCCACCACCATTATGACCAGGTGGTATCTAATGCAGTTCCAAAAGTCCACTTATGCCTCTGAGGAGGTCCTGAAAGCAGTGGGAGCCTGAGCTACAGTAGCAGCCTCACCACCCTTCAAGTCCAAGTCCCACAAGGTACTGAGATGATGAATTTCATATTTTGTATAAATGAGCATGTTTGGAGGAGGAGGAGGGATGAAAGCTTTTTTGGTTTTACTTTTTTTTCTTTTGTAAATGTCACATTTCTAACACTGAAAGAGGGAGAGGCAACAGAGGTACAGATCTGTGGAACTGTATCAGTACCTTCTGGACTTGGCAGTGCTATTATAGTCTAAATCACTAGTTTCTCCATGGAACTTCCAAACTCTGAAGTATCCAGACAAATAAACAAACAGCTCTGGTGTTGCCTGCTTTTTCACACAAGTGAGTGCATTTCTGTTTCTAACTACAAGAAAGTTTCAGCAGAAATTTTAAACACAGACATCAGTGACCAAGTAGCAGAAAGAGATCTCTCCTGAAGCAGTGTGGCAGGCTGCATACAACTTGTGACAGCAGGACAAACTCTTTAATAACATAGGAGACAATCAGTTTTATCTTGTCTCACTCAACATTCTGTCTCTGAAGGTGAACTTCACATGAAAGAGCATGTCACTTAAAAATACTTTCTCAGCTATTATCCCCATACTTACAATTGTACCTATATAGGCACACACATGTGTACAATACTATAATTACTATACACAATAGTTACTTGAAAAAGCATGGAAATTACAGTTCTTTTACTCCCCACTGCTTTCAACAAATTTTGGTGATTAGAAGAAAAATGGAAATTACTGGATTTCCTCAGTACCTTCAAGCAGACACATAATGCATCAGGGTTTCTTCATTTACACAGAGAAACCAAATTTTGCTCTTACAAGAGTAAAAAGAAGTCTGTGTATTGTCTCTTAAAAAAAGAGACTTAATAATTAAAACCTGCAGCATATAATTGCAGGAGACAAGTCCAATGGAATTATATTGATGGTAGGTTAGAAAGATTCCTGGTGAGCACCAGACTGCAGTCTAGAAAATGGACAGTCTTCTATTTAAAAAATAAGGAAAGAAAATTACTAGGAATAAAAAAAAGGTGACCATCATATATGTTAATGACAGTGTTAAATCAACAACAAAAATATGAATAAAAAAAAAAAATCAACTCATGGTGTTGCCTGAACACTTTGCCAGACATCCAGGATGTAAAGTCTAGCTGTAACACTTCAGATCTAGCTGAAGTATTACAAAGCTAACCTGATTTATTCTTCTGGAAATAGTCACATTGAAACTACTTCCTAACAAGTTCTAATGCAAACAAAGCATTATCTTAATTAACACTTTGGAGTACATAAGTAAAGATTTTTCTGTCTTTAGCTGCACTTTTAAATCAATTTTCTCCCCTCTGTCATCCTCTGCTCCATAAATTAGTAAGCAAGTCCTAAGAACAAAACTCATGGTTCGCACAATACACCTAACAGGGGAAACAAATAACGCTGTGTACCAAAATGAAAACTCATGACACAGAATGGGATGCTACCTGCAGCTGCAAAGTCTGCCACATCCAGTCAGTACATACAGACAGCAATATCACTAGAACAGGGTGGGCAGAGAAAGCTGTTCACAACCCCAGTATCTGTACCACAGCACTGAAAAAAAAATGGTACAAATAAACTACCATCTATTGAAATGAACTGACATGCTTTACTGGATGTATAGCGTGCCCAACTATGCTCCTTTACTCCACGGTTTAAAATTTTTGTACATAATTTATACTAAGACTTTATTCCATACTCAGATGAAATTGATGAAACCAACGCCAACTGATTTAACTGAAACAGGATTAGATCATGTCATTTTGTCAGAATGATCTCAAAGAATTTTCGTTACAGCACTCAAAATTGATAGATTTCTTCACAAATCTGTTTATGTTTGAACTTACCTTCGCTACTACTGTCCTCTAACAATAACTCATGTCTGCTGGGTGATTCCTCTGTTTCAGAAGCATGACTTTTTATACTGCATAATGTTGGAATCAGTGTTTTATTTTCATCATCTGAAAAATCACTGCCACTAGAGGTCCATATTATGTCCTCAACATCCTTAGAGCTTTCAGCTGCAGCAGATCCTATTAAAAAGAATCATAAAGTGTTAGATTGTTACACAAAGGTGATATTGTTAAATTTTAAAATCTTAAAAATTAATATTATTTTTGAACTGGAAAAAAATATCAGCCATCAGGCATCACAGATTAATACTGGAGCATTAACTCACACATATTTCTTATACGTACAAGCATTATTTTCATTTTGGTTCCCCATAATAAATGCTAACACTTCATTTTATACAATGAGGCTATCAATCAGTCCTTCAGCAGAGTTAGGACAAGTAACGACTGTCTGACATGTAGTCCTCTACACACAATCCTAATGCTCTCACATGTGTCTCTTCAAAATAGCAAGTGGTTTAAATAAAGAGTACCCTTAGAATTTTGGGTTTAGGATTTGTTTGACCTTATACAATGAATACCAAATTAATAAAAGTATGCCATCAGTAGAGATGACTTTCCAGTTTTGTCCTGAGAGGAAAAAATTTTAAACTCTCCAGGAGTAATGAAGAAAGCTGTTGTGTTTTTGAAGTGAGACATCTAAATTCAAAATACCATTCTCCCTAATTTTTAATAAAAGCAAGGAGAAAATGATTAATACTTAGCAGTAGAGCATGCAGAATTAGCAATCATAGGAAGGCAAAACTTTCCATTTCCTAGAACTACTGAAGTTCTTTAGGTAAATGGGAAGTTAAACAATTACTTGGGATTTAGAATTAGGCAGGAGGCCCACAAGAGGGAAACAAAACCATATCTCCTCCTGCAACACATGGAGGTTCTTTTCAGAAACCTGTAAAAGCATGATTTTCAACACCAAAAGATAGACAAAAGGTGCCCAGTAAGTCGCTCACTCAACTCCAACAGAGGCAGCACAGCTGCTGGAGCAAGCAGAAATAAAGACTGAAGAAAGCACTGTCCCCCTCTTTCTTTCCTTTCCTCTGGACTCAAAAAGGAGCTGGAGAGAGTCCATTAAGTCCTCCTCCTCTTTATTATGCCTAGGGTTCTTTTATCACAATATCAAACAGACTTGGGTGCATACAGGAGACTGTGAAAGCAGGAAGTTGACAAAATTCTAGTTTTCTATTGCTCATACTTAGAAAAATTATGTTTCTCGTGACTGCTTGTCTGCCTCTAGCAGAAGAGAGAATAATTTCACCCTCTATCTAGACAGCTAAGGGTTGCCTTAAAAATGTGAAAAATTTAAATATCCTGTCATGGTTAGAACATGCACTATATACAGCATTAGTGATGCTTCCCTCCACCTGTTCAAGAGTGATAGCTGAAGTGCCTGCAGCTTTGCAGAATGTATTTCTGGCCCTCTAGGTGAATAGAGGAGTCCAAGCACAACAGCATCATGACTGTGTCTCTTATCAAAATTAGCTTCTGATTACAATAACAGAAGAAAGCAACCAGTATTTTGAGCCATCTTCTACTTTGATAAAGGGCAAAACAAAGTGACAATCTTCTGACAACATGAAACAGTTGTAACATACCTGCTACACTTTCAGCAGATGTTAACAGTGGTCCAAGCTGCTTCTTAATCCCGGATTTCTTATCAGTAGGTCTTGGGGACTATATTAAAGAGACAGAGAGGGATTTAATCAACAAGACATTAAAGATAATTTTAACATGTAGTAATATGCTTAAAACTGTTGCTATTCACCCACCACAACTTTGTAGCACAATTTCAAATTAATTTTGCTATCTTCTACTAGATTGATGAGTGAGGTAATAAAGCATGAGAACAGTAAAATAAAAGCGGAATTTCCACTGTTTTGGGAAATCTAAACTTACTGTGACTATGAAAGGAATCACATCTGACCTTGCAAGGAACAAGAGCCAGTATTTTCAGCATTAAAATGTCAAAAGTGGGCAGGAAAAGCAGGCCTGATAAAGCATGTGCCCTATTCAAAGGCTACAGAAAGAAGCACTCAGTGGCCTTGTCTCTGATTTTATTAAATACCACAAGCTATGCAACTCTGACTGCTCAGTAACAGAAGAACCACCAGGAAAGCAACTTGGTCGAAGACTATTTTCAGCACAAAGCACTTCTCACTCAGAGCCAGCTGAACATCTCTGTTCATGACCCAAAAAGACATCACACACACCCCCTCCCCCCCCCTCCCCCCCAAAATGGAGCATAATTTTATAAATCATCCAAAAGAACATCTGCACCAAGATCCTCATCTGCAGGATCATTAAAAAGCAGGATTTTCTACAGTGAATTCATGACTGCAAACATTTTTAGATCTATCAAAAAATCTTCAGATGCAAACTAGTCCTTTTGTTCCACATTTTTTAGGAAATGCAGTACTCCATCCCAAATGTCAAATAACCTTTGTAGTCTTCATGTATTATTGAAATTTTCCAAGTGATAAGTGCTGTCTGGAACATAACATATTAATGTATGCACAGAAAATTACTCTAACAAGTTAGGACAATGCCCTTACATAACCCTGCTTTCCATTTTTGTCTACTTTAACAGTTACAACAATATGCTGTTAATTGGGAAACAACACAAAAAAAGGCAACATTTTATAATTCAGTCAAGCATGGAAATTGGTTTAACTGTCAGTCTGCATCTCTCTACACCTTTAAGCCGGCATTTTACCTCCAGCACTGAAGTGCTCTGAAAACCATCCCCACACCTAAGCCACGCATTGGAAATCGAACTAGCAGCCACTGACGTCCTGACATTTGATTTTTTCAGCTGTAGGGGCGTCTCATCTGGGAAGGGTGTGCATTCTGCATTCCAAAATCGCTTCCGCTACAAGGAAAAAACAAACCCATTAAAAACACTGTATACATAATTCAAGTTAAGTTTACTTAATCTAGACTGCCCCTAAGTATTTTCTGAATACTTACAAACATAAATTCCCATTTTTAATGAGCTGGGCTAAAAAAGACTTGAACACTTGCAACCACTTTTTATGCAACACTAAATAACAACGCTACCAACAATGTCATGCATAAACTTAATTTTTGATAAGTATACTAGTTTCTGTCTCTAAGTTACATTTACAGTACGTGTTAGCTGACCAATTAAGCTGAAAATATTATCCTAAACAAGAACAGCCCAGTAAAATACACTTTAAATAAAGAATTTCTTCAAACTCATATTTAATCTGATTTAATTCTGTGTTACGCAGGAGGTCAAACTAGGTATCACTATATAGCTTTCCATTAAAAAACAATCAACAAAACCCAGATTCTTTCAGCTTTAAGAACTACATTTGTTTTCATAACCTTTTCCCAAAAAGTAGTAGACAAAGCCCTGCCTTCCCCTTACATGGGATGCTGGAAGTAATTTGGACTATAAATCAAGTCATGAAACAGAATGCTGATTAGCATCCAGTGCTAACTTCATGCACTAGATTTTAACATCTGAAAACAGTTGAAGGTGAGAGAATTGCCTGTTATCACATCCAAAGTTATCTTTCAGTTTCTACACTAGTTTACACACATAAATTGATCTTGAGTATGATAAACCTTCTTAGTCCATTATGCTACTGAAACTGATCTTACAAAATGTTGACTATGCTATTTGCCTGAATGTGTCCATCTTCTTCATACATACTTTCGCTCAAGCAACTACAGTTCCTACCTATATTTAAGAATTACTTCAAAGTTACGTTAATCAGCACATACATTTTCAGCCAGGCTGGTCAATCAGGACACTAACATACACTCTGAATTAAGAAACACAAACAAAAAACCCAACCAAGTCTTTGGCAACTTTTGTCCATTTTGTAATTGATAATACATATTTGCCTCCTCTAGATCTTTTGAGTGCTCACAAGAATGAACCAAGTACTTTCCAAAAGCATATGGTGAGCAGCATCTTACAGTCCCTCGAGTCAGCCAGTCCTGCTGTTGAATGGTGAGAAGACAAAGTAAATGGGCTTTGCAATTTCCTCTGACAGTAACTGACCTTGCTAAGACCTGCTTCTAAAATTGCTGGGGGTATTTACACCTTGAAGTGGCTACTACAAGAGGTCATTATCACCAAAATCAAACTGTCCCCATAACTACTCCCACAGATATATAAATGAGAAGTATAACCTTGAAACTGACGTGTTATTAAATAAGGAATCAAAAGCAGCTTAATAGGGATGTGATGTTAAGTAAGGAGGCGATAGCAGTTTAAACAAGAAAGGCTAACATTATGACACAAAGAAAATTTAAACCCTGCTTTCCTCCCAGTGACGGTGCTGGCCCAAGCCTTGATTTCCAGCGTGCTTAGACACAAACCTCTGCATCATGCTACCCTCTTGGTAAGTACTTCTGCACAGAAGAAAGCATGGACAAGACAAATATTAATAACTGAAACACATCAAAGCCCATGGTTTGGTTTTGCAGCAAAATGTCACAGCAAGGCCTCACTCCAGTTGGAGACATTTGCTTCACCTCCATGTCCCAAGTGGATGCCTTCTGCCAGGTTCTGAGTTAACAGTATAGCCAGCAGTGTGCCAAGGCTCAAAAACATGCCACGGCTCTAGTTTGGGATTTATTTCTTTGGGGTTTTGTGTGCTTGTTTTGGGGGTTGTTTGGGGATTTTTTAACCTTAGTCAGTGGTGGAAGCCTTGCTTATATGCACGTTTTCACAGCTTCTAGAAGATTTTGCAAGATACATTTTGCAGACAAAAATGTACAGTACAAATTGTGGTTCATCTAAGCTTACTACTTAAATGGGACACTCCAGTTTTGAAGAATGTGCATCTGTGCCAACAACAGCACTAGGACTTGCACAGGGGTTTACAATACACTACTTTTCATGGTCAATTAGAAGCAGAAACAGTTGCAAGTAAGCGAAGAAGCCACAGAAACGTATGAACAAAAAGTTATTTGAAACAGGCTTTGTAATATATTTTTATTGCTAGGATGCCTAATAAATACAGAACTAGAGAATTACTCCATTCAGTTTCTCCTCCATATTATTAGTAAAATCATTAAATCCCCTAACAGATAGAATCCCTCCATTTCTCTACACTGTGCAATACCAGCTGACCAAAGAAAGAGCATGGAGAGATGGAGGGGACAAACAGCAGAAGGTGGCAGCTGGTGTATGGCCAATGGTGCACAACTGTTAAGATTGAGGAAGGCAATGCCATATAAAAATGCACAGGATAAAAGCTACATGCTACCTCCCTCTCCCTAAGTAAGAAATGCTTATAGTTGACAAAATTTTAAAAAGCCCAGACTAATACAAGTAGAACAACTAGCTGGTTTTATGCTTAGATGGTGTAGATTGCGATTGAGTGAGATGTGAAGTGGCACTGGGAGTGACTTCTAAACAGCTGGGAATACTCCTTCAGAGGCACTAGACAATCATGGCTGTGACAGGCAAAAAGAGTTTTAATAGTTAATGACTGTTAACAACGGAAGAGTGTTATTTAACCTTCCACTTGTTAGCCTGGATAAAGGCAGGGCTGCTCAGGTTTTCAGAGCAGCGCTAAAGGGATGTCTCAGCACAGGTGGTCTCATGACAAACCAGGAGTAACTGGAATCCCTCTCCCCCTTCTTCCCAAGCACTAGGCACTCGCCAGACTCCGTAGACATAGTGACAAGGAACCAAACCTGCAGGAAACTTCTTTGGGAATAAGCACTAGTTATCTACAGCTGGCACTGCAGTGGAAGAAAGGATACAAGGACCTGTGGGACCACTCCAGCAGCTGCTTGACACTGTGTCAGCTTAATTACAAACTCAAGAACCGTCAGTACTGCTAACAGCTCTGGTTAATTACCTCTTCGTCTCAACATGCATCCCGCTCCCCAGATACAGGAAAATCTGAGAGTTTTTGCTATCACCACACAAAAATTTATAGCCACTACAGTCACCAAGAAAAACTGAAAACAGTTCCTGAAGTCCCAGAACAAGCAAAGAAATATAGCCTCTACACAAGATGTTTTTCAGCTACTGCAAGCTTCTGGCAGACACTATTTGGAGGGAAGAGAAAAAGGACTTATGATTGTTGATACTGATGGAAGTGACTTACAGTTCCATGCCTTTAATACAGATACCTTTCCACCACTTCCCACATCCTGTACCGCCTTAAAAAAAAAAAACCTGAAAAAACAAACCCAAAAGACAACTCCCCCCATCCCAAACTCCTTGACAATTTAAATCTCTCCATATAAATATCTGATGTGAATTCAGGAAATCGGACCTACAGCTTCAATCCACAGTTACTGAGGGGGGAGTTTATATCACAGTAGCACTGCATGCGTGCATATTTATGTATGGGTGTATATGTACACAAACCAAACTTTTTTTTTTAAGGAAAAATAATACCATGTAAAAAGTGTATCATTTCAACATGCATCAAGTAATGTTTATAATATAAATGATATAGAAAGATTAATATATTGAAATATAAATATATGAAAATATAACTATAAATATTAAAATATAACTCTATAAAGCACATAAATATATTTTTATTAAAAACCTGTAATATGAGCATTGTGTGCAATAGAAAAGAGTTACAGATAGATATACATGGATACGTAGTTATGAGATGTGCAATTCAGAAGTAAAATTCTTAAGGGCAAAATGACACCAAAGGGTTCCCTCTGGATGAAGACTACCATGAAAAGAATAGAAGGGAAGCAGAGTGGCCTCACTTTCCACACACAGCTTGTGTCACCATGCTTCAAATTACAAATGCCCTACAGTAGCAGGGAGGTCAGCCGCGAGGCAGTGTGCCCACAGCATGGGTGTGGGTGTGAGGGAGCCACCCAGCGGATCCTCTGTTTGGCTCTTCACCTTTGGGCATGGCGGGATGGTGCCCAGGATGAGGAGGGCACCTTCACCCTTCCCCTGTGGATCTGCAGGGGCTGCTGCTCCCCAACACCTGTCACAGAGGTCTAGTACCCAAGGAAAATGTAGTTTAAAGGTTTTTTTGCTTCCGCTCCAGCCTGCTTCAAACAACAGAGAAACTAGTATTTTAAGAAACGTGTTTCTCTGAGGAATAAATACTTATAATGAAGCTAACCTGAAGGCCACGCTGTTCCCAAAGAAACTTTGTGATAACAGTGATTTCCCTAATCTTGAGTCACAAGGTTAAACATCATATTTTTCCTCTGGCATAAAAAATAGGGCACACAAAAAATACCTTGTGTAATTTATTAATGTTATGCATGAAGTGCCTAGAAACAAGATATTGGTATTAAATAAACAAATAAATCAGTGAAGCGGGTTCAAAAGAGCTAGAGCATGTAGACCTGGCTTACCTCATAAAAATCAAGATTTATTACAAAATAGAGTCAGGCAAAGAATCCTGTGAGTTGCATGGAGTGTCTGAAGATAAAATATGACCTCTGAAACTTTGAGTTAAAAAAGGGGAGGCTAGGATGGCCACCTCATGCAAAAATTGTCTGCTGACCTCTGTTCATTAGATCATTGCTTTTTGCAGTTCCTTCTAAAGGAGTGAAAAAAATTTAATTACTCCTGCTGGTGTCAGTGGCATTAGGATCAAGCCCTTCATGTAAAGGGCATGGAAAGCAATCCTTTGCCTGTTACTTCTTCAGTTATTTCCAGTGAGATAATGGTAAGTCAGCCTGTGGGTGAAGGTGTGAGGAAAAGAGAGACACATGCTGAAAATTCAATAAATATGCATAGCAATTATGCAACAGACTACTAAAAATATAAGGCCAGGGGACTGGATTTGGTTTTTAAACGGATGGTCCTATCTAAAATACCTCCACTCAACTATATTGTTACTTATGCCAAATACCTGTTACCCAGAAGTCCCCTATATGAA